ACTGGCCACAGTGCAAAGCACTGGAAATAATCTGCATGTCCATCCAGTAGAAGGGCTTTAAAAAAAAAACTAGGGATATCCATATTAAAAATTTATAGGCTATAATTATAGCCTGTAATCTATAGGCCTGTAATCTCAGCTACTCGCAGGCTGAGGCAGGAGAATAGCTTTGAACCCGAGAGGAGGTTTGGAGGTTGCAGTGAGCGGAGATCAGGCCACTGGCACTCCATCCTGCACCACAGGGTGAGGCTCCGTCCTGCTCTGCTCGCCAGGCTGGAGTGCATTGGTGCGATTTGGGCTCCGCTTGAACTCCACCTCCCCAGTTCAGAGATTCTCCTGCCCTCAGCTTCCTGAGTAGCTGGAATTATAGGCATGCACCACCATGCTCAGCTAATTTTTTTAGTTTTTAGTAGAGATGGGGTTCACCATGTTGGCCCAGGATGGTCTTCGATCTCTTGACCTCGTGATCCGCCGCCTCGGCCTCTGAAAAGTGCTGGGATTGCAGGCATGAGCCACTGCATCTGGACTTAACAGTAGAGACGGGGTTTCACCGTGTTCGCCAGGATGGTCTCGATCTCCTGACCTCGTGATCCGCCCGCCTCGGCCTCCCAAAGTGCTGGGATAACAGGCATGAGCCACTGCGCCCGGCCGCTGATTTACATTTTTAAAGGATCATTCTGGTTCTCTATTGAGAATAGACTGTAGAGAGGTGAGGGTAGAAGAAGTGAGGCCATTTGGGAAGCAATTTCATTTACCCAGGCCAAAAATGATGGTGGTTTGGACCAGGGCAGAAACAATGGTAAGGATGAGAAGTGGTCAGATTCTGGATGTATTTTCGAGCAGAACCAACAAGATTTCCTAAAGGATTGGGCATAGATTATGACAAAAAGAGGAGTCAAGTACAACTCCAGGGTTTTTGGCCTTAGTCACTGGGAAGATGGAGTTGCCATTTACTGAGACTGAAGTCACCGTAGGAAGAAACAAGGTTTTGCCGGGGAGGTGGTGCGATAGGGGTGGGGCAAGGAACCAAATCACAGGAAGGATAAAGGTGGGGCTATCTTCAGGCTGGCACGGGATTTCAAACGCTCTCAGAATTCATGCCTCTTCATCTTTCGTCTCTGGTTCTCTTCCTTATCAGTCTCATTCTTTCCTTCTACCGACAGTTATCTCCTGGACATGAAAGATGGAAAAACTGATACCCAGCTTGAGTTCTCAAGAGAACAGAAAGCCGTCTCACACTGTCCACAAAGAGAGAAACAAACAAACAACACTGTGGAGGATTTTTACTGGTCATACCTTGGGTCATGTGGTCTTCCCTGCGCCAATCTGCAGTCAGAAGGATGAAGTACTCTAATTGGCCAGCTTTGGGTCACGTGCCTGTCCCTGGCTGTCATTGCACCAACAACTCAGGGAATGGAGAGTTGGGGAGTGAGGAGCTTCCCCTACACAGACAGAGGGTGGGTAGCCCATTTGTCCGCTAAAAACTGCAAGATACAGGCTCACGCCTGTAATCCTAGCACTTTGGGAGGCCGAGGCGGGCGGATCATGAGGTCAGGAGTTCGAGACCAGCCTGATCAACATGGTGAAACCCGGCCTCTACTAAAAATACAAAATTAGCTGGGCGTGGTGGCACGCGCCTGTAATCCCAGCTACTCAGGAGGCTGAGGCAGGAGAATCTCTTGAACTGGGGAGGTGGAGGTTTCAGCGAGCCCAAATCGCACCAATGCACTCCAGCCTGGCGACAGAGCAGGACGGAGCCTCACCCTGTGGTGCAGGATGGAGTGCAGTGGCCTGATCTCCGCTCACTGCAACCTCCAACCTCCTCTCGGGTTCAAGCTATTCTCCTGCCTCAGCCTGCCGAGTAGCTGAGATTACAGGCCTATAATTTACAGGCTATAATTATAGCCTATAATTTTTAATATGGATATCCCTAGTTTTTTTTTTAAAGCCCTTCTACTGGATGGACATGCAGATTATTTCCAGTGCTTTGCACTGTGGCCAGTGTCTTTTGAGTGCCTCCTGTGCACCTTTGTGATGGTCTCTTGTTGTCCTCTAGGGGACATCTAAAGAAAGACATGTCCCCTGCACAAGACAGAGGGTGGGTAGCCCATTTGTCCGCTAAAAACTGCAAGATACAGGCTCAGCGCCTGTAATCCTAGCACTTTGGGGAGGCCGGAGGCGGGCGGATCATGAGGTCAGGAGTTCGAGACCAGCCTGATCAACATGGGTGAAACCCGGCCTCTTACTAAAATACAAAATTATGCTGGGCGTCGGTGGCACGCGCCTGTAATCCCAGCTACTCAGGAGGCTGAGGCAGGAGAATGCTTGAACCTGGGAGGCGGAAGTTGCAGTGAGCCAAGATTGTGCCACTGTACTCCAGTCTGGATAAGACAGCAAGACTCCGTCTCAAAAAAAAAAAAAAAAAAAAACACAAAAAACAAAACAACAACTTCAAGGTACATCTAGAGAATGCATCCATCCACATCATGCTAGACTGGAGCTACTATCACCTGGTACTTGGAACCACCTCCTTTACTGGTCTACCGTCTCCCTTGCAAACATTTTCTACAACAGCCTAATCCCTAAAAACATGATCCCATCACAGTCACTCTCTTCCTGTGCTCAGCTTCCCATTCTCAAGGGAAGGACTCCCATCTTCTAAAGAAATATCTACCTACCCAGCCCAATATATGAGCTTTTTCAGGTTGTTGTTGTTGTTGTGTGTTTTTGAGGCAAAGGAATGACGGGTTTTGTCAAGC